CCGATCAGTTTCTTATTCATTCACTCATTCATTCATTCATTCACTTATTCATTCAGTTGCTTTGTAACTTCATTTAGCAACTGAATTATGCCATCCCCACATCACCTGCATTGTACCTTTCACCTTCAGCTCCACCACCAGCTGGCCTACTTACTCATTTTCTAACTCCAAACTTCTGAGAGAAAAATCAAGTTGGCCCTTGCTGATCATAGTGTGTTGGGCTGTGTGCCCAGCTGCTAACAAACATGTGGATTGTCTTTCTTTCGGATGGATGCCAACTCTTTGATCCAGTCAGCTATGGTATAATCATACCCTCCAAAGACATGGCACAAAATATGATGGCTTAGCCAGCAGAGGCCGTGGGTGAGGTAGACTACTTTAGGAATATGTGGGCAGGGCAGACAGACATTGACATTGCTGGTATAGCCACACCTACTTGCCCTACAGGCACTATCTATAGAAAGGTAGCCATAACCTGGTAATGTGAAGTGTCATGACCCTCGTGCTAACAAGTCTCAAAGGGTAAAAGGAGTGAGCAAACAGAAGTGCCTCTCACCACTCTGTTTCAAATTGTCTTCTTAGATTGCGTTCCAGTTCACATCTTTCCATCTGGACATCACGGAAGCATTTTGGACTTTCCTAATCCCTGAACACAACATCACAGTCCCTTTCCTGCTGGTAGGCAAAACCACCGACCCTCTCATCTCTCTGGACAAGTCACACCTCAACTTCAGTTCTCTTCTCATTGGTAAGGCTGCCCTGTCAGTTTATATTTAAAGTTGACATGGAGCAACACCCTCGGGTCCCCTCTCACTGTGGGAGCTCTTCTGTCCTCTTAATAAATCCTGCTTTAAAAAAATAAAGTTGACATGATCTGGGCAAGGTCATCAAGAGCTCTGGAACAGCCTTGGGTGAGAAGCTTTTTCTGGTACCTTCAAGAAGCATGTCAGGGGACCTCAGTCAATTTTTAGAAAGCCACAAAATATTTACCTCTCAATCTAATTTCCATCAAGTATCTTTTAAACCTGTATACCTACTAATGGCTCAATGAAATTTAAAAGCCTTAAGTATCTTACTTGGCAGATTCCTTTCAGTCCTGAAGTGACTCTTTTTGCTTCCATTGCCTCAAATCTGCCCCATCCTTCTTGTATGTGTTCCCAGATTATGAGCTGTATTTGTCTGCTTCTTGGTCTGTGCCACAGTGGTCAGATTTCTCTTTGATCCTTTCATGCATTCAATTTGGTTCAACAAATATTACTGAGTCCCTAGTATGGCCCAGGTACCTTTCTGTGGGCTGGAAGTGCCCCAATGGATAAAGCACAAAGTCCCTACCCTCATGATGCTTACATTCTAGTAATAGGAAGCAGACCAAAACATAAACAAGTAAAATATATAGCATATAAGATGTTGATAAGTACTCTAAAGAAGAATACAACAGGGTAGGGGGGAAAGGAAGGCCCAGGAGGCAGTGGGAAGGTGGCATTTGAGCAGAGACCCTAAGGAAACAAAGGAAGTAATTGCAGGTCCATTATAACCCTGTGAGTCTTTCATACAGTTGTGATATGCAACTAAAGCCAGAGGATTTTTAAATAATTCATTAGATTTTTATTTAAAAATAGTATTTTATAATAACCAATGTGTGTTGTATAAGAAAAAGTTTAATATCTTTCCATCCATCCCCTCTCACCCTTCCCTTTCTATCAAAGGAAACTTGTTACTCCTTGGGTGTATATTTTACTGATACACATAAGTAGGTGGGAGAGGGAATCATGGCATTTATTAAGGTTTTGAACAAATAAATAAGCAATATAGAAAAAAACTCTAACAGCAAAACAAAGTTTAATCCAGGAGTGCAAGTGTACTACATTTCAGTATAATCATTGCATCCATACATTAAAGAACACTCATGTGATCATATTAATATATACTGAAAAGGCATTGCTCAATTTAGCAGACATTCCCAACAAAAACTCTAATAAAAAATAGACATTGATGAAAAAATTTAAAGAAGATTAACCAAAATCAACATAAGCAAATATTATCCTGTAATAAATCATTAAGCTATTCAATTAAAATGAGGAATTAGGCAAATATGTTCACTATCACTTATTGTACACTTGCTTAAAGATTTCAACAAATATAATGAAACAAGAAAATTAAATAATTTGCATAAACATTGGGAAACAGAGATTAAATGATCTCATTTTGCATTTCCTGGTGACTATATATATATATAAATCCACAAGGGACAGCCAGGCTCGGAGGCTCAGCCTGTAATCCCAGCACTTTGGGAGGCTGAGGTGAGTGGATTGCCTGAGCCCACGGGTTTAAGATCCGCCTGGGCAACTTGGTGAAACCTCATCTCTACAATAAATTTAAAAAAAAATTAGCCGGGCGTGGTAGCGTGCGCCTGTAGTTCCAGCTACTTGGAAGGCTGAGGCGGAAGGATCACTGGACCCCAGCAGGTGGAGGCTGCGGTGGCCGGGAGTGGCCACTGCACTCCAGTCTGGGTGACAGAGTGAGACTCCAACTCAAAAAAAAATAAACAAAACAAACAAACAACCAAAAAAAAAACCACAAGGGACTCTAGAGAAAAGCAAAACAAACTTCTAGAATCAACAAGATAATTTGTTAAGGTGGATGGATGCAAGACAAATATGCAAAAATTAATCATTTATTCTCTGTTAGCAATAAGCACCTAGAAACAAAAACAAGTAAAATTCCATTTAATACTGACAAAATCTATACAATATCGAAGGGCAATTGTAAAAAGAAAACCATGAAGAGAACTATCAAATCTTATTAAAATTCCCCCATTTGTCAGTTCTCCCAAAATTAAATGCAAATTTAATCAAGTTCCAATTAAAATTCTAACAAGGGTTGCCAAATAAAATACAAGATGCACGGTTGAATTTTAATTTCAGATAACAATGAACAATTTTTTAGTATGTGTGTCTCATGCAATGTTTGGGACATGCTTATACTAAAAAGTTATTTGCTAAATCTGGCAACCATAATTCCAAAAGAATTGGGAGAAGAGAGAATTAGATTAAATGATCCTAAAGTTTTTGTGGGAAAATAAATGTTCTACAATAGTCAAGGGGAAATCAAAATGTTACAGTGAGAAAAGATGTATTAGGACTCTGAGCAGGAAACTCCTGGCATACCCAAAGTCTACATCCAAAAAAGTCAGTGCAAAAAATATTTACAGAGATGTGGACAGTTAAGGACCACCCAGGACGGTGAAGCCCCCATTAACAATTTAGGAAGACATTACAATTCTTGGATCTAAAGGAGCAAGGGAAGAAAAACAGTGTCATCACAGAATCCCAGGAGAGCTGTGACCAGGGCAGAGTAGCCATCCAGCAGGAGCAGGCAATTGATGAAGTTTTAGAAGAAAGACATGGAATCCCCAAAGGAGGAAAGTCACTTGTAGAGGACAAGGAAGGAAGAGAGGTAGACAAAGGCTGAGGCGTATGGAAGGGAAGGGAAAAGAAGTTGGGAAATCCCTTCTAAGAAGGCTTGTTCTTGTCTCTGAAGCAATATCTGCTGAGATACTTTGAACAGCAGGCAGGAGGCCTTCACTAAGGGCTGGTGTTTCCTATTCAGGCAGAGAAGCCAGGGAGACTGTGCAGATTATCAACAAGGAGGAGCAGGGATTTGATTTTACCTTCCAGGACAACTCCCGATATTCTCAAGGTTTCCTCAACAACTTGGATATATGTCCCATGGAAGGCTGGATCCCACCACTGTCCAGGTAAAGAAAAATGAAAGCCTCAAGATGTACCCTTCTGACATGGCCCAAGCTTGCAGCCAGGAAAATCTGTTTTCCTTGGAGGGCCCCAATTATAAAATCTCTTTCAACTCTAAGACTTAGATATTAACAATTTCATGTCTGTCCTACTTACTCCCTGATGTTTCTTTTCCTGGTGAATTATGGAGCATTGAGAATTCTAAGTCCTTGTTCTCAATATTTTCTCTTGTGTTTTATTATTTTCCTTGCTATCTGCTGTATGTGTGAATCATCAGAGCAAATGTTTAAGTCTTGCCTGGTAAATCTTAAAAATTCATCATAATTTAGAGTTGTGTTTTCTTTTCCTCATAGTGAATCTGCTAATCCAGTGGGCTCATATTTTTTAAACAAGTTTTAACAAGTTGGCCTAGCCAATTAATCTGCTGTCTTGCTCCCCAACTAGGCTCCCAATTGATATTTTCTTCACACCAAAGCAAGAAGGAGATGTGAACTTTAATTTGATCTGCAATGTGAAAAAGAAAGTCCACCCTCTGACACTAAATGTCAAGGCCCAGGGCTACACTATGAATGCAGAGGTCAAATGCAAAGATAAGTCTGGCTCCATCACGCTCTTGACTCCCATCCAGACTAACATCATCAACTTCTATGAGGTAAAGATGTGAGAGGAGCTTGCTATATCTCTTGGTTTCAGCACTGACTGAGGAAAGCGGTATGAGTTAGTATGGACTGAGTCTTTCATTTTCAAATGCCAGAGAGACCAAGAGAACAGAAATATGCCAGGAGCAGCTTCATCCACAGAATGTACATAGTTATTATATGAATATTTTTCTTATTTTACTTTTCAGGGGGTGGAGAGATGGTGGGAAGGGGCAAGAATGCTTTATTAAACATATGGAAAGGATGTGTTTGACTACTAAGAAAGGTCTAAGAAGTAAATTTCCATCTTTCTCTTGAGATATGAGGGGACCCCAACATTTAGTAGCTCTTGCTGAAATATCTGACTGCATTAAGCTAATGATACCCTACTCACCTACATCATCAGCCATCTTTATTTCCCAAATAATATTTTTCACCAACATGTTACATATCCTGACCACAGTCAAGGGAACTATGGTTTGCATTCACTACTTTGTTGTTCTCTGTCTCCCAGGCAGAGTTAAATGAACGTGTCCAGTGTGATTTCAACTTTATCAACACTGGGAAGTTCAACTTCAGTTTCCAAGCAAAACTGTCTGGCTCCAAAGCCCTGCTTCAGTACTTGGAATTTTCACCCACTGATGGCACCGTGGATGTGGGGCAGAGTGTACATGCTACCCTGTCTTTTCAACCATTTAAGAAGTGTGTTTTGAAGGGCCTGGAACTCAGAATCAAGGTAAGACCATTTAACATTGTCCAAACACCAAAAGTATTCACCTTATGCTGCCTTGACAGGTTAATTCTTCTATGTGTTCTTTGTCTTCTTTATCTGTCCAGAAGATCCTGGAAAGTAGTTGTGTTGGAGACAGCCCCACAATCACTAGTACAAAGGCATCATCTATAATAATTGAGGTGCCTGGTGAGTAAGTATTTATTTGAATGCAATTGCATTGGAATATCATTCAGCCACTAAAATAAATAGGGTTTCCAGCTACTTGGAAGGCTAAAGCGGAAGGATCACTGGAGCCCAACAAGTCGATGCTGGAGTGGCTGTGAGTGTGCCACAATACTCCAGCCTGGGCAACAGAGTGAGACTCTAACTCAAAAAAAACCACTCAAAATATAAATAAAATAAATAAGAGTGATAGATGGGGCAGGGAGAAAACATGTACAACATTTTCCAAGAGAAGTCATTGACTGAAATGGTGATGTCAGCAAAAATAGCAGAGGAAGACATTCAAAAAACTACTCTTCAATAGCAAGAAGAACACTGGCAAAAATTGTCAAAATTAACTTTTTCAGAACTCTGGAAATTAACCAGAACCTTGCAACAATCCCAGAGGCATTTATTCAAGAAAAATGACTGAATATTCATAAGGACAGTGAGCTAGCTATGTGGTATTTAACCTTGCCCCATTTCTGTTGTCCTCCCTTCCCTTACCCCATTCTGTAATAACCCTGAAAACCAGTAATTCAGCAATCAAAGTGAAAATCAGCAATCTATCAGTCACTGGAGGGAGAAGAACAGATTTGGAATTCCCAAAAGCCCTGTTCTTAAAAAATTATTGTTATTTGCCCTGTCTAGAATTTCAGTGGAAACTCCCACTCATGGGGCTTGCTTTTAGTTGACCTGACTCAGAGCTTGCACAATGTAAACAGCCTTTTCCCATGGGTTAATTGTCTAAAATAATCAGTGGCAACAGTTTAACATTGCAGTTGCCTAAGGTGGCAATGACCCCTGGGGCAAACAAGAAGTTAACTCAAAAACTTAAAAGGAAAAACTAGAAAAGATTTCCTTTCTTTTCCTCCTTCACTTCCCCTCCTCCTCCTCCTCCTCCTCCTCCTCTTCCTCCTATATTCATAGGGGGCTTTGTAAAGCTCCAACATATTCCCTATAATCTAGACAGCCTTGCATGTATAGGATGTGTGTATTTCAAGGCTGTGCAACTGCTCAGAAAAGACCTGATGAGACCTTAAGCTCTCACCTCTGACTAACCTTTAGGTCCTGTGAAAGCAAAAAGTGAAAGATAAAGCATATTTGGCAACTGCCTTCCTGAGTGTCAAAGGTATGCCCCACCACACACACACAGAGCCCTTCAGCAAAAGCTGGAAAATTTACTGGTTCGATTTTTTTTTTTTTTGAGTTGGAGTCTCACTCTGTCGCCCAGATTGGAGTGCAGTGGCCGCTCCCGGCTACCGCAGCCTCGACTTGCTGGGCTCCAGCAATCCTTCCGCCCAGCCTTCCAAGTAGCTGGAACTACAGGTGAGCACTACCACACCTGGCTAATTTTTGATTTATTGTAGAGATGAGGTCCCACCAAGTTGCCAGGCGGGCTCAGGCAATCCACTCACCTCAGCCTCCCAAAGGCGCGGGATTACAGGCTGACCCACCGAGCCTAGCTGGTTCCAGATATTTAAGGCTTCTCTGTCCAATCAATAACTGACCACTAAACTAACTAAGCAGAAACTTCATTGGCCATACATAAATAAGAATATACAGTTTACTGGAAAACTTACTAAACAAACAAAGAATAACAACAGCAACAACAGGAGAGGTGAGGTTATCTGATTTTCAGAGTCATCACCTTATATTATTTTAAATCTCTAGTTTCCAACAAAAATTATGAGTCATGACAGAAAACAAGAAAGTATGGCCCATACATGGGGGAGGAGGGAAGCAATCAAAACTATCCTCAAGGAAACCCAGATTTTGGACTTACTAGAGAAATACTTGAAATCAGTTGTTTAACTACAAGGGATACACACAGACTCAAAGTTAAAGGATGGAAAACAAGTTTCTAGGCAAATGGATCACAAAAGAAGGCAGGAGTTGCAATCTTAATATCAGACAAAACAAACTTTAAGCTATCAAAAATTTTAAAAGATGCAAAAGGACACTACATAATGATAACACGTTTGCTCCATCAACAAGAAATATCCATCCTAAACATATATGCACCCAACACAGGAGCCCCAGCATTTATAAGTAGCCTAAAAAAAGATATTGACTCTAACACTATTATAGCCCAGGACTTGAATACCCCACTAACAGCCCTAGATAGGTCATTGAGGCAAAAAATCAACAAGGAGATTCAAACCTAAACTTGAAACTTGACCAAATGGATTTAATTGAGACCTACAGATTATTCTACCCAAAAACCACAGAATATACATTCTACTCATCACCACATGGATGAGTACTCCAAAATCAATCACATTCTTGACCATAAATCAAGCGTAAACAAATTCCATAACGTTGAAATCTTGCTGTGCACATTCTCAGACCACAGTGGAATAAAAATAAATGTCAACACTGACAGTATATCCCAAAAGCCCACAAAGACATGGACACTAAACAGCATGATGCTGAACAACTACTAGGTCAACACTGAAATAAAAGCAGAAAATAAAAGATTCTTGGAAACAAATGAAAATGAAGAAACATCTTACCAAATCCTATGGGATGCCATGAAAACAGTTCTAAGAGGGGAATTTATATCTCTATGAGCACACATCAAGAAAATGGAAAGATCACAAGTGGATAGCCTAACAAATCATCTAAGGGAGCTGGAAAGTGAAGACTACCAAAACCCCAACTTTAACAGAAGAATGCAAATCACCAAAATAAGAGCCCAAATATGGGACATAGAAGACAAAACTATCAGAAAACATCAGCAAAACAAAAAACTGGTTCTTTGAAAGAATTAACAAGATTGATGAGCCCCTAGCCAGAATGACCAAGAAAAAGAGAGAAAAAGCCCAGATAAACAAAATCAGAAATACACAAGATCAAATCAAAACTGACCTCGAAGAAATACAAAAGATTATCAGAGATTACTATGTACACCTATATGGAAACAGACTTGATAACCTAAATGAAATGGAGGACTTTCAGACATCACACAACCTTCCCAGGTTGAAACAAGAAGACATTGAGACACTAAATAGACCAATAACAACCCAGGAAATTGACTCTGTCACATGAAAACTACCTACCAAAAAAAAGCCCTGAACCAGAAGGCTTTCCAGCAGAATTCTACAAAACGTACAAGGTGGCCGGGCTCGGTGGCTCAGCCTGTAATCCGAGCACTTTGGGAGACCGAGGTGAGTGGATTGCCTGAGCCCGCAGGTTCAAGACCTGCCTGGGCAACTTGGCGAGACCTCATCTCTACAATAAATCAAAAATTATTTGATTTATATATATATATACCACAGGCGTGGTAGCGCGCGCCTGTGGCTCCAGCTACTTGGAAGGCTGAGGTGGAAGGATCACCGAAGCCTGGCAGGTCGAGGCTGCGGTGGCCAGGAGCGGCCATTACACTCCAGTCTGGGTGACAGAGTGAGACTCCAACTCAAAAAAACAAAAACAAAAAAAACTAAAACAAACAAACAAACAAAAAGTACAAGGAGGAACTGATACCAATCCTTTTGAAAGTAGTCCAGGCAATTGAGAAAAATGAAATTCTCCCCAAATCATTTTACGAAGCTAACATCACACTGATACCCAAACTGGGTAAAGATCCAACAAAAAAAGAGAACTACAGGCCAATATCCCTTATGAACAGAGATGCAAAAATCCTCAACAAGATTCTATCAAATCAGATCCAAAAACACATCTCAAAAATCATCCACCATGACCAAGTAGGCTTCATCCCCAGAATGCAGGGCTGGTTCAGCATTCACAAGACCATAAATGTAGTTAAACACATTAACAGATATAAAAACAAGAACTACATACTTATATCATTAGATGCAGAAAAAGCTTTTGATAAAATCCAGCATCCTTCTTGATTTAAAAAAACCCTCAAACACCTAGATATAGAAGGAATATACCTCAAAATAGTAAGTGCCATCTACAATAAACCCAGGGCTAATATATTACTAAGTGGACAGAAACTGGAAACATTTCTCCTAAAAAGTGGAACAAGACAAGTCTGCCCACTCTCACCCCTCTTTTTCAACATTGTGTTGGAAGTCCTAGCTAGGGCAATTAGACAAGAGAAGGAAATCAGGGGTACCCAAATAGGAAAAGAGGAAGTCAAGTTATCCCTCTTTGCTGATGATATGATCCTATACCTTAAAAATCCAAGAGAATCTGTCAAATATCTGCTTGTACTGATAAAGGATTTTGGGAAAGTCTCAGGGTACAAAATAAATGTGCAAAAGACAGTTGCATTCCTATACACCAACAACAAGCAGACAGAGACCCAAATTAAAAGCACAATAGCCACACACACACAAAAAAACCACCCTTGGCATCTTCCTAACCAGAGAAGTGAAAGATCTTTTCAATGAGAACTACAACACTGCTCAAAGAAATCCAAGAAGACACAAACAAATGGAAAATAATTCATGTTCATGGATAGGAAGAATCAACATTGGTAAGATGTCCATCCTACCAAAGGCAATCTACAGAGTCAATGCAATATCCATAAGTTACCAACATCATTCTTCTCAGACCTGGTAATGACAATACAGAAATTCATATGGAAACATAAACAACCACAAATAACCAAAATAATCCTTAGCAAAAGAAACAAAGCAGGAGGTATTATACTTCCAGACTTCAAACTTTACTATAAGGCTACAGTAATCAAATCAGCCTGGTTTTGGTATAAGAACAGGCATATAGACCAATGGAACAGGATAGAGATTCCAGAAGCAAAGCCTCAATTTCTCAACCAACTCATCTTTGACAAACCCTCCAACAACAACCCATGGGGGACAGGAGAGCCT